TGAACTAAAATATGTGACTTTTATCTCAATGTGAAAAGACTTAGATCAATCCATAAATATGCCGTTAATTGTTACAATGAGACAAAATTATGTAAATCGATTTAAAGAAAATATCAATAGTGCGAAGTCGATTCGAAATATATATGGCTACATCTGTACTTCCACACGCAACTACGTCATTCAACATTTACATAAAATCGGATGAAACTAGAAATGAAAGCTATATCCAAATATGAACGGATTTCAACGATACTTGTCACAGTTTAGGTTAGACTAATTTATGCACGTTTTGTTCCTAATAGAAATATTTTGGGTCCTACTTAATATAGGACGAAACCAAAATATATATGAGAGCTATATCCAAATCTGAACCGATTTTCACTGAACTTAACACACACCGTTCTAGGGTTTATTTAGTACGTTATGCCAAATTTCGTGCAAATGGAAGGATATATAAGGACTTTAGTATACCATTAACATTAAATCGGTCAAACATATATATGGGACCTATATCTAAATCTCAACTGATTTTCAAGAAATGCCAAATTTTGTGGAAACCGAATTATATATAGGGACTTAGGTGAACCATTTACAATAAATCGGGCACAACTATATATGGGAGCTATATCTAAATCTGAACCGATTTTCACGAAACTTAGCACACATCATTCTAGACTTAATTTAGTATATATATATATATATTTTCAGGGACTTTGGTGCACCATTTACCTGAAATCGGACGAAACTATATATGAGAGCTATATCTAAATCTGAACCGATTTTCACGAAACTTAGCACACATCATTCTAGACTTAGTTTAGTACGCTGTGCCAATTTTCGTGCAAATCGAATGATTTTCAGGGACTTTGGTGCACCATTTACCTAAAATCGGACGAAACTATATATGGGAGCTATATCTAAATATGAACCGATTTTCACGAAACTTAACACACATCTCTCTAGGCTTAATACCGTACGCTGTGCCAAATTTCGTGCAAATCGAAAGATTTTTAGGGACTTTGGTGCACCATTTACTTAAAAACGGACGAAACTATATATGGGGCTATATCTAAATATGAACCGATTTTCCCAAATTTCAATAGTGTTCATCCTTGGACCGAATAAGTGACCTATGCCAACTTTCATCCAAATCGCATTATAAATGTGACTTGTACTTTGTTTACAATTTAACATGGACAGACAGACGGGCGGGAGGACGGACATGCATAAATCGACTTAGAAAGTGATTCTATGCATATTCTCAAAAAGAAACCATGTGCCTATCTCGTTTCCCTTTGCCTGTTACAAACATATGGAGAAAGACAGTGCCACAGTGTGGTGAAGGGTATAAACATATTGTCTATGTATGTCCACGATTTGAAATTGAAAATAGAACGTAATCAATAATAAAAAAATAGAAAATAAATATTTTTAAGGTAAAATGTTCAAACAAATAGCTCTGATAACCACAATAAATAATTTGCCATTTCTATAGCAATCATATATACAAATATATATTTATAAATATTTTTATTTGTGGTTGGCAAATTGCCTTCTGTATTTATTTGTTATTTCTTAAGTGGCTAAAATTTTGTAAACAACCATCACAAATACATCTACATTTGGAAAATATTCGAATAATTTGATTAAATCGATTTGAATTAGTGCAACATAGTTCATTAAATTTCTAAATTAAATACATTGTTAATATGATGGTTGAGTGAGTGTGTGTTCGTGTGTATTGGTAATTGTATTGTGGTTTTATGTCAATACAATTTCATTTCTATACATATTAATCAACATTTTATTATGACATTAAGATGTTACATCTAGAGTTATATGTATGTGTATATACACAAAAGCTAAATTATTGGGCGGTAGTTTAGAAGGATGTGATTCTTGAATGCAATGCCTTAACCCTTTAACATTTGCAAAGGAAACTGCAATAAAAAGTAGAAAATAATTTTTACTTCTATGATATTTGATTCTTTCTTATTTAGAAAAAAGTAAACTTTGCCTTACAGTAGCAATGTATGAATTTGTAGAATATCAAAATCATCCAAATAAATTCGTCACATTATCGATTTCAGCAGCAGACTGCCGAAAGCATTTCATTTGTATTTTTACCCAATATCGATTTCAGTAGTTTAAGTATTAAATTTTAAAATTTGAAATAAATAATGACAATACATATAATAAGAAATTTAAATTATTTTACCTTTAGGCAATACCACATATATTTCTTTCTCATATCTATTATAAAAATCTATTTGTTATTGTTGTCGTTGTTGATATAATTGCATATCAAAAGCTATACGAAAGTCAGTTTGCAAACAATACACAAGATAACCAATATTTGTATAAACATATTTATTCTATGTGTTGCACACACTATTATATATGTATACGCAAATTTGCGTATGTAGTTGTGATATGATGATATCAATAGTATATATCTGAAGATATTCATTGAGGTGTATCTTTTTAGAAATGATATTCTATTTTTAGTATCATTAATATCAACATTAAATTTTACTAGTTAACCCTTATGCTCGGCCGTGCCGAACTTTAAGTTCCCTCCACCATGTGGGGTACATGAAAAAATTCTTAAGCTGATGAGTGTATTTATATGGACACTATGTTATGATGTTATGTTACAGTAAATTGTTCATGCGAAAAATAGTGTTCCAAATTTCAGGAAAACATATTCGGACTTTTATCTTATTTTTATTCACAATGAATCCGATAGGTCAAATTATAGCCACTTCTATGAGAGAATGAAACGAAAACAAATAAAAACGATGTCAAGATCATCCCGGAGGAACTTTTTATATTAGGATATGAGGATTACAACCAAAATATCTAAAATTAATTTGGGCTCCTAGCAAGAAACTTATGTGATGATAGGACTTTGAACATGCCGAAAAATACGTGTAATTCCCAAAATTCCGCATAATGGGGCTACCATTATATGGGTCTATAAGAAAACGGAGATCAATATTACATGGGGCTATAATAAAACTCAGATCAATATTAATATTTTTTGGTAGTAAGCTTTAAGCAGTAAAGTCGGACGTGACCGACTATATTATACCCTTCACCACTTGGGTATATTCTACATATGTATCCTTACAATTGTAAGGATACATATGCAACCTATGATAAATTTAATTTCATTCGAGCAGATTTAAAGTCGTCTGTATATCATGGGACAAATTTATGGAAAACGATTTATAGCAAAATTCATACACGCTATTTGGTACGCCGCACTGTCAAAAACTTAATTTCGATCAGATACCCGTTCGAAAAATATATGGAAGCTATGGTTGTATTTGCACCAATTTCAACGAATCGCAATAACATCATACAAGTCCCAATTTGATACGTTGTGCAAAATTTTGTGTAAATCGGACAAACAGGAGTTTGGTGCATCATTTATGTAAAATTGCACGAAAATAGATGTATAAGTGGTAGCTATATCGAAATCTGAACCAAAACTTAACACACATCATTCCAGACTCAATTCAGTAGGCCATAGGCACTTTGGTGCTCTATTTACTTAAAATCGGAGAAAAATATATATATGGAAGCTATATCTAAATCTGAACCGATTGCCTTGAAATTTAACACACGTCTTTCTTGACGCAATTCAGTACGCTATGCCAAATTTCTTGGAAATCAAAGAATATGTAGGTACTTTGGTGCACTATTTACCTTAAATATGGGAGGTATATCTAAATCTGAACCGATTTTCACGAAACTTAGCACACAACGTTCTGCGCTTAATTTAGTACGCTATGTCGAATTACGTGGAAATCGAATGATATATGGGAACTTTGGTGCACCATTTACATAAAATCGGACGAATATATATATATATGCGAGCTATATCTAAATCTGAACCGATGTTCACGAAATTTAACACACGTCTTTCTAGACTTAATTCAGTAATCTATGTCAAATTTCGTGCAAATCGAAGGATATATAAGGATTTTAGTGCACCATTTATTTAAAATCGGACGAAAATATATATGGGAGGTATATCTAAATCTGAACCGATTTTCCCGAAACTTACCACTCATTATTATAGACTCAATTCAGTACACTATGCCAAATTTCCTGCAAATCGAAGAATATGTAGGGACTTTGGTGCACAATTTACCTTAAATCGGACGGAACTATATTTGGGAGCTATATCTAAATCTGAACCGATTTTCACGAAACTTAGCACACATCGTTCTGCGCTTAGTTTAGTACGCTATGTCGAATTACGTGGACATCCAGTGATATATGGGTACTTTGGTGCACCATTTACATAAAATCGGACGAAAATATATATGTGAGCTATATCTAAATCTGAAACGATTTTTTCCCAATTTTAATAGGGTTCGTCCTTGAACGAAATAAATGAGCTGCGCCAAATTTCCTCCTATTCGAGTACGTTGTTTACAATTTAACATGGACAGACAGACGGACGGACGGACATGCATAAATCGACTTAGAAAGTGATTCTATGCATATTCTCAAAAGGAACCATGTGTCTATCTCGTTTCCTTTTGTCTGTTACAAACATATGCACAAAGACATAATACCCTGTACCACATTGTGGTGGAGGGTATAAATACCAAATTAGAGCCAATCAGGTTGAAAAACGTGTCCAAATTCCCAATAACGCGACTTGGGTCAATATTAGTAATTTTAGTGCGGAGATGTGGTGATACCTTTATTTTTGAAAAACGTGTCAAAAATTTCCAAATCTGGGTGTACCCTATATGGGGTTTACCCTTAAACGATGGCCAATATTCAAAAATTTTAGTACGAAAATGTGATATACAATGAGAATTCAAAATGGGTGCGTGCATACGCAGTCGATTTGGGGCAAGAACGCAAAACGCTTTATTTTGTAAAGCATTTACAAAACTATTTTATGTGTCATTTATTTAAAATGTAATAATTTTTTTCTATAAAAATATGTATATTTTATTTTATTTACAGTTGTCAGTGCAACAAGTATGTTGCCCAAACATGAGCCCATGTTCATATCCCGCTCTGAGACATTTAAATTTGTTGCTGGTGATACCATCGTTTTGCCGTGTGAAGTTGCCAATACAGGTAAGTCAAAATATATATATATATATATATAATCGTACTTCTCTATAAGATTACATCCGACATAGAATAATATTAACACAATGAATTTTATCTAATTCTAAAGGACCTATATATTATAATCCACAATTATTATATATTCTAGAATATGTACATTTTTGAATTTTTTTCCAAGTCCAGTACTTTTTTATTTACCCAAATTTTACCAAATATGCCACATTACCAATTTAAAGAATGTGTTAATAAACTTCATTATTACGTGCACCTCAATAGAATTTTTTTTTCAAATCAACATTTTCATCACTCATAAAGCCAATGGGCTCTTTGAGTCTACATACAAAATTCATTTTTGCCTAGAAGCTAGTCGTTATGCCACCATATATAGCTTAAGAGGCCAAATGCAGGCTTAAGGTTTACATGTAGGGAGAAACACTTCTTTTTTTTAAAACCCCTTTATTTTTCTGATGAACATATTACATCTATCCATACATATGTATGTATGCACGCATGAGAAGGATTTCAATTCGAATACAATATGCCCAGTAGTGTGATTATTCTGCACGCCTTATCTCGGCATTTAAACATTGGAAAAGCGAATGGTTTTTTTTTGGGATGAAGACATTGTTTTAATGCTGGTATGTAGTTTTTTAAATGTAAATATGAGTGTGTACGTGTATGTGTTCGAGAAATTTGTTAGATTTTTTAGATCTGGTCATTGTTTCTTTCCATCTTTTTCTTACTGCAAAGATGTTTTTTAGAATAAGTATAACAATTTTAATTAAAGTTTTCTTTAAGTGAAAATAGTTCTTCTTTTAGTTTTTCATTTTCAATGATCCATTTGTTGTGTATTTGGGTCATTGGATTGGAGCGCTGTTTGTTTCCTTTGTAATGAAGGAATTATAATGAAAGATAACACATTTTGATCTTTTTTTAATTTTAGAAACTAAACCAAGTGTTCTCTATAATTGTTTTGTTTACTGAAAAGGTTGAATTTTTAGAAACGATGTATGTAATTAAGCTTGGCCATTGGGAAGTATTAGATATTCCATTTTGAACATTCTCTTTAAATTTTTACACAGAAAAAATAATTCCTATATTAAATGAACAGTGTTCCGAAAGTATTACCAATGGAGATTTCGACTATTTATAAATGCAATTTATTCATATTTAAATAGTGGTTACATGTCAGAGAGATTGAAAAACAACTTCGGAGTGTGTGTGTGTTTGTGGTGACGGCTGGTTTCTTTGACACATAAACACTTTTCCGGTCACATTTTTTTATTTTAATTTTATTTACTTACATGTTCATTGGAACAATTATATCCAATGTTAAACATTCGGTTGGACTTGTGTGTTGTTATTCAGCATTTATATCGGAAAAATTTGGAAAATACATATGCGAATTTTACATCCAATGAGTGGTAAGTCGGTGGTTGTTAGCAACAGAAGCAGTCAAATGAAAAGTTGTAAAAAAAGCTACCACCAATTAAAGTGAAAGGCGAAGGATGATACCAAAAAACCACACAGCCGAACAATAAATGGTGGTTGTGTTGGTGGTAGTGAAGTACTGTGAGAGAGAGGGGGAAAAGAGCTCAAGTGGGAAAATATTTGTGATTTTATGAAATGTTTACGTTTTTCAGAAAAAATAGGTGTTTACTCATGATTATAAGAATTTTTACATGTACTCTAAGCGAGGAGCATGGTGAAATATATCGTTTGCAATATCTCGAAATACTATTCGTCGAAGGGTCTATGTCCGTCTGTCTCATGATAGAGTTCACAATGCCATTGATAGTACTTCGAAGATTTGAACATACATAGCTACTACTACTAGCAGGCTTTGTATTACAAATGGGATATGTCGGTATACGTTTTGTTATAACCCTCATATCACGGTATTGCCCGGAAAGCTCTGCAATCATCTTTTAAGCAAATTGCCCATATATGTTTTTGGTTCTATAAAACATCCTTATGAAGGCCCAGTCCCATTTCGACATTTGGAAATTTTCTTACTTATGTTAGGGTTCGTAATTGACTATTTGATTTTCTCATAGCATACAATTTTCAAAGTTCTGAGGTCCTGAGCGGTAATAAGAATTTTGAAAATATAGAATCACTTTCTGAGTCTATTTATGCATGACCGTCTGTTCGTCCGGCTGTCCATGTACTTTTGTGAGCAAAGTACACGTCGCATTTATGATCCGAATTGGATGAAATTTGGAACAGCCCATTTGTTTAGCCCGAGAACGAACCCTTTTGAAATTGGAGAAAATCGGTTCAGCTTTAGATATAGCTCCTATATATTGTTTCATCCAATTGTAGATAAATGGTGCGCCAACGTCCCTGCAAATCTTTTGATTTACATGAATTTTAGCATATGGTACTAAATTAAGTCTGCAAAGTTGTGCAAAGTTTAGTGAAAATCGGTTCAGATTTAGATATAGCTCCCATATTTTCCCATTTTGTGTAAATACTGCACCAAACCCCCTTAATCTTTCGGTTTTGGTATAGCGTACTGACTTAAGTGTAGAAGTATATGTGCAAAGTTTCGTGAAAACCGGTTCAGATTTACATACACCTCCTATATAAAGATTCATAGTTAAGCCGATTGACACATCGTACTGAAGTTAATATAAATTAATCTCTGTCAAGTTTCCATATATAATTTCGACTTATTCATGTTTATTGTACACCAAATAATCAATGGGTGTTTGATTGAGATTAAATTTTAAACTGTGCAGCGAATAGAGTGTGTCAAGTTTTCTTTAAATCGATTTACAAAATTTAGCATAGGTTGCAGAATGACATGTGTAGGGATTATGTTAGTCGGTTTAGAGATAGATAAAGATCACAATGTTCCTTCGAAAAGGGAACGTCTTTTAGGATAAATATGTAGAATATGCCTAAAGTGGTGAAGGGTATCGTATAGTCGGCTCAGTCCGACTTTACTACTTTCCTTACTGGGTTTTACTTGTTTTTCTGTAGTTTTATTTATTTATTATTAATATTTGTTGAGGTCCACAGTTTACACATATATCTGCAGATACGAGTTCCCCTTATAAGAAAAAAAATATTTTCGCTTTCTTCGCATAGCCCAAATACATTTCATCTTACGTCAAAGTAAAGGCAGAAACGTGAAAAATTTTATTATTTGCAGTCAAGTACTTTCATATTCGCTAAGGCTACGAGTTAGGGCTCCCTATTTTGTTCATAACTTCACATTCAAGAAAACTTTACATACAATAAATTATTGCAACAACAAAAAAAAAAAACAAACACATTATAACCAATGCAGGGAATTGTATGTACACCCCAATAAAGGGCATTTCCCTTATTATAATAAGAGGAGCAAACGCATACACATGCATATTCGCATACAAATGTATGTATATTTTCTATAGTTTATTTGGTGGCGTTTCCTACCGTGGAAATTGAGTTTCTCCCCATGTCGTCATAAAACAAGATTTTATTTGTTTTAAATTAATGCTTAACCTACAAAAATAAAACCCCACAAGAAAATACACGACACGGACTTGGCGTTGTTGCGACTTAACGCTGTAGTATTAGCATAACGATCACGGATATCAAGTTTTACATTCGTCCCGACCCTCCAACCCCACTCAACATGTAAAGTGAAAATATCAAGGAAAATACATACATTGGGTTGGGCGGTTGGTTGACTGGTATATACGTATGTTTCTTAAGTAAATATGTTTGTCTGCATTACTTCATTTTATGACATTCACGTATATAATAACTTTTTATTTTGTTTACACAACTGTAACAGAAACATCTCAAACAATAAATGGAGAACAACAAAAAATGGAAAATAAAATCAAGAAAAAGAAAAACTAAAACCAGAAAACATGCAACGCATAAATATCGTAAATATGGCCAATGTGTGTTCGATTTCGAACCGAGATTTCTTTACGGTTTACGGCAAATAAACATTGTGAAGGAAATTTAATGTAAAGTTTTATTTTTTAAACAATCTTCAGAACCAATTTTAATCTTAATTTAAATCAAAAGAAACAAAAATTAACTTGATGTCAGAACTGGCAATATATACTGATTTAGATTTTATTGAGGAATCAGAATGGAATCCTGATTGTATTTGAATACTACGTCCACGAATACAGTACTGCATTTTTGATCATTAAAAGGCAATAGACACGTATCAGTCAGTCTTTTATTAACGTTATATTATTAATTACACTCCTTTCCGTTTTTATACCCTTCACCACACTGTCGAGCAGGGTATTATGTCTTTGTGCATATGTTTGTAACAGGCAAAATTCCTTTTGAGAATATGAATAGAATCACTTTCTAAGTGGATTTATGCATATCCGCCCGTCTGTCTGTGCATGTTAAATTGTAAACAAAGTCCAGGTCGCATTTCGCACAACCCCCATTTTTTGGATCAAAGCCGAACCCTATTGGAATTTAATTGAAGACAACTAGGCCGAACCTTTCATACCCTCTACCATTAGGATAACAATCAATACATTTAATTTAACGGGGGCTCCTAGGAAATGCGTGAGGAAAAGATGATTAAAATTCCCATAATATAAGATAGTGGGGCTAATGTTATATGGGGACAGCCAATGAGAATACAAAATTCCAAAATATAGACACTTCGCTTTAAAATATGTCAAAAAATCTCAAAAAACCGGCTTGGGACAATATTAATAATTTAGTGCGGAGATGTGGTGGTACCGTGAACCCAAAATACCACATTACAGCCAAATTTATTGAAAATCATGTCAAAAGTCCCCATATTAGGGGGTACAGTATTATGAGGGTTACCCTTAAACGTGAATCAATTTCAAAAAATTTTAGTATGGAAATCTGCTATATGGAAATGCTGGTACCGATATATGTTATTCAATGAGAACCATAAATATCAAATTACAAATGGGGGCTACAAACGTAGACCGATTTATGTATGTTTTTTGCAATACCATACATTCTAGAAGAACCAGAACAATATCTGTGCCAAATTT